ATCATACTAAATTGTATCATACATGTATTGTACATATGTTATACATATATTATATTTTAGGCTGGATGTTGCTAGTTGTTCACAGCAGCTGCAGGCATGCTGTTTACAGAGCCACCCTTGGTTGTCCACAGCAGCTTGGTATTGGACGAGGGGTGCAGGTTTGCTCTAAAGCAAGTTGCTGACAAGAGTACTTTTTGTGTTGACTTTTTTGATGCGCAAGCATTACTGACACTACTTTATTGCAACCAGTGCGGCTGATATGGGCTTTCTTTGGCGCACGGGGACATGACGCTTTCTTGCATCCCATGGGCTTTCTCCGCTCTTGCAACAATGCCCAGTTTCGGCTTCTTCTAGGCAGTTTGGATTCAGCTTGGGGTGTGAGTTCTTCTGCAGGAGAGAATGGGACAGGTGTGTCAAGCCTTGTCCCAAAATATGTGGAACACCCAAAATGTTCCTCCCCCATCGAATGGATAGGTTCGCCTTCAATGTAGCGAAACACTCCCAACCACTGGATGTTCACGACTATTCTTACGACTGAACGCATCACGACTGTCCTCACGACTGCTCTTCCCTCATCACTTGTTCTCTTTCTCCAATTCCGGGTGGTTTCTGGGGTGTTTCACGAGGGCTACCCTGTCCCTTTGAGCTGAAAGCAGGCACATGATATGATCGAAAACCATGTCAGTCTTCTGCCAATGACGCCAATGACCACTGGACCGGGCGAACTCAACGAACAGCAATTGATACCTGCGGTGGGTCGAGTCTCGAACTTAGCTGCTTCCCACAGAAACCAGGATCGACCAGATTCATCAGCTGGCCCAACCACCGCAAATTGTATACTTTCTAGTCCTCCAGCTCATTCAATCTCTCTCTCTCTCTCTCTCTATCTCTTTCCCTCGCTCCCTCGCCCCCTCGCCCCCTCGCCCTCGCTGACTTGCTATCGTCCTGGAGCTCTCTCTATATAGGTGGTCTTAGCCACCCCTAGAAAGTGACATTGATGAGTTGAGGCACCGTTGGTTTTAAGACAAAGCCCTAACAGTAGCCCCCCTGACTCCTAGAGCTTCGCCCTCAGGAGAGGCAGCCACTGAAAAAGCTGTGACCAAGGCTTCGAGGCTTCGGATTGCGGCAGCGTGTGCAAAACTGATATCCCATGTCACACTTGTAGTGAATGAGGGAGGTTTCGCCCCCACTATATATAGATTCCTTGTGTGTCCATTCCCTCATTCCTTGCGAGTAGACGGTTTTTGTTGGTTCCGGGCCAGGATTCTCTTTTGCGAACAAGTGGGGTCAGTGCCGGATATCATACATCCCTCAATTGAACAGCGGACCATGGCTGTGGGCACTCTTGCTCGGATGGCCTGCACCTTTCATGATTGGCAATTGAGAGCGATGACACAATCTCTACAGTTATGCGTATTAAAGACTTATATATTTGATCAAAACTTGACCAGGCAAGGATGAGAATCGAGCTCAATGGATTTTTGTACACTCAGCCTGTTGCAGAGACCCATCACCATGCCCTTGCCGAATGCGGCACACCTCACATGGGACATTTTCATGGCTGAGACGCAGGGACCCAACCGTATTTTCTTCAACCCTCTCAGATGGTTTCGCTGGCTCTGTGCAGAACCTGGCTGGGGAGTATGATGAAGCAGTTGGCATGACAATGGACCCGTCGTGATCCCATGTGTGTGTGGCGGTGGGTTCTGTAGCAAAGGAGCTCCAGATTCCCAAGATAGAGGAAGTTTGTCGTTTTTCCACTTCTCGCTGTGCTTTTGGACGTCTTAAAATGATCTTATGCACCCAATAGCCGCTAGCCCGGCAGTTGGTTTCTCTTGCTTTGGTGAGGCAGCACGACTTCATCTTCTGTGCCAACATCGTAGGCGTGGGCTGTGAGTGGAGCCAATTTGCCAACAGCCTAATGTGGCTTGAGCAGGCAAAGGATTATATATATACTATACCCTCCGCAAAACTCTTGGCAATTCCGAAGTGTTGGGTAAAATGGAAGTTTGCCAAAACTAGTCAATGGAAGTTGAGCCAAGAGTCTTGACGCATTGGTCATCCTAGAGACCGCATGATTTGGATGTGGATCCCAAATGAGCTACTGTTCAAAGAAGAAGCTGAAATGGACTCTTATGAAGTCGATTGTCTCTCAATTTTCTGTTTCCAGCCAAGCAGTGGTCTAGTCTAGTTTGGCCTCCATATTGATTCTATCCTTCTCTGGGGGTCCTTCTGACTCGATGGTGTGGAGTGGACGGAAGCAACCCGCTTCAGGCACTTTGGGCAATGCCATCCAAGCGCTTCAGGTGCTGAGCGGTTGCTGGTGGGACAAGACGGGACAAGCAAAAGAACTACGCTCTGAAGACATCTCAAGAAATGGCATGTCATTGGGGTTCATCATCGACAGTTTTTTTGTCAAGGCTAGGACTTAGGAGCAGAGGTTGACGACGCTCTCTTTCAGGATCTGTAGGTCCGTCCATATTGGGAAATCACGGACACGGATTTTTACGCCTGGATTGCCAGCACTGAAAGCATCCCGCTATTAGACCACAGTGATAAGAGGCAGGATGACGAAGAAGGTGCTCCTCAATTTAGGGTCTTGGTGACGCACCCAGAAGTTCTGCACTGCCCCGCTTGCGCGAGGCCTTCCTAATCATCGCGGATCGACTCCAAGCGAGGTGACCTGTCGCGGGATCTGGGCCGTCCTCTCTTCATGGTCTTCATTTGCGCGTGAAAGCAGCATCGATCGTTGGTGATCGTTTTGTTGCAGCATCCCGCAATCCACTCGGTGGACTCAACAGCTTCTTAACATCAATAATAAGCGCGCCCTTAATGTGATCCACTTCTATTTGTTTTTCTGGGGGTACCCATTGTTGGCTTCTACCTAGTCGTACTTCTGCTACTTATATACTTTGTTTAAAAGCGGCAGGGCCCCTCGTCCGCACGTTGCGTCGCTGTGATTTGCAGGGGTTGGCGGGTCCTGGTGCTCTTGCCAGCTGTGGGGCTTCATGAATATGACCGTGAGCCGCTGCCGGAGTATGCAAACGGCACTGGCTGGGAGGAGCTCTTTGATTTGAGCCTTGAAAGTGAAAGCCGTGTGAAGGCCTTGCAAAGGCCTCGCTCCTGTTCCAGGCCCCATTAGCACACCGTGCACGGAAAAGTGAGCTGATGGGATGTAATTAGTACATTAGGACATGGGCTTTGGGATGCCCAAACTCGAAACCCATGGTGTATTACGGTGCTTTGACATGCCTTTTGGATGCCAGCATAGATTCGAGGCCGGTGCAGCTCTCTGTTGGTACTATCCATAATCGGATAATGCATCGGCACTTCAAGGGCAATACACCTATAGTTCTCAATCAACACACATTGAGGGTGGCCACACAGACAAGGCACGAGAGATGTGAAACATAGTGCTCGAGGTTGCGACTGAGATCTAGCTCATGTCTTCAATGTTTCAAGTGTACCACCTGTTGAGGGACACCACCTGTGAGTCAAGTCAGGGATGGTCTGGTCACTGCCCTGCATTGGTGGTTTTGTCATCCCCACCTTGGGGATATCGCCTGGGAGATATCGTCTGGGACAGTGGTTACATGTGGCCACTAGTTCTACGATGAGTTAGTATGAGTTATAGTCATAGTATATAGTTCTATCTCTGACATGTGCTGTTTTCAGTCTACTTGAGGGTCACTGCAACTGAGTGGATTTTTGGACTTGTGTTGAAAAGCAGCTTGCTTCTCATGCAAACTGAGTGAATTGAAGCATGTCTGGGTCTGTGCTGAGGACTCCATTGAAGAAGATTCTGGATATAGAGGAGGCCATATGCCAAATGGAACACAGGAGGTTTTGGAAGGTGTGGATGCTTTGAGAAGGACTTCTGGTAGGCAGCTTAATGGAACTTCTGTGTAACCCTTTTCCTTGTCGCTTAGGATGGATTTATCCATCCCATCCACAGACCTGTGCCCCTCTCTGCAACACGCACACGCCAAGAGGTGACGGACACGGTGGCGGAGCGGCGGAGGGTCACCTGCTGGGAGGAATCCTGTGAGATCTCGGTGTGGTCGATGGCACAGGCGTGGAGTTTTTTTTTTTTTTCGCCTGGGGATGTTGCGCAGAAGATCTAGTGTTTGGCGTTGTGGGTCTCTGGGTTGGGAGGTTCAAAGGTGGTGCTTGGGTTGAAGTTACCCAAGGGAATTCTCACCAAGTCCTGAGCTATTTGTCTTTTGCATCTGCATACCAATTGTCAGTAAGAGACATTTCTGAGTACGAACAAGTTGCCGTTGGCACCTGCGTGATTCGCGGGTGTGTTTTGAGAGACTTCAGTCCATTTCTCGGGAGCAGACTGGGAGGGGGGTGGACACTGGAACGTCAGCGCACCAACCACCCGGCCGCACTCCTCAGCAGGTGCGAGTGCAAGATCTCCGTGAGGTCCAAGTGCCTCACGTTTGGATGGGCCCCGGTAAGGCGGAGGTCGCCAGCGGGGTCGCCAGCGGCTGGCGGGTCATACAGTGGTATGAGACATATGAGGCTGGTTGATACGGTACACATCAGGAGTGGCAGTGGACGTTGACAATATATTTTGGGTTTGATGAAAGATTCATCAGCCAATGAGTGGTGGGGAGGCGCATTCCCATCTTCGTTAACTCCTAGGGAAGAACCTCGCGGCAATCTTAATTCCACCTTACCTCCTCACACTTTCTTCCATTCCCTTTTGTTCCAGGAGGAGTGGATGTTCTCGCAGCTGTATGACAACCTGGAGTCTTTGGCCGGATCCACCTACGCAGCCCCCATCCGGGTCTTCTGGCAGATGCAGCGCTTCTCGCCCACGCGCTGTGCACCCTTCGTGTACCCAGAGGCTGCGCAGCGGATCAGTGAGCACTTGCAGCCCAAGCTGGTGGCCTCCGATTCTGGGATCCAGAAGCAGTGTGGGCAGTGGAGTGCGTGGGTTGCTTCAACGGTGAAGGCAAGCGTGGAGAAAGCCCATCACTAGTTCACTCTTGCTTACCAACTTGGTTGCTTTGAACATCAACCTTCCAGAAATCCTGAATGCCATTCTGTTCTATGCAGAAATGGGCACTAATGGGCGGGTTGGGTGTTTTCAGTTCCCAGATTGGTGTTTTCCCTTCCCGTGGTGTTTCCTTTTCCCAGATTGGTGTTTTCGGTTCCCGTGGTGTTTCTGGTTCCCAGGTCTTGGTGTTTCCAGTTCCTGGATTGGTGTTTTCCTTGCCCAGCTCCTGTGTTGGTGTTTTTGGTTCCCAGGTTTGGGTGTTTTCAGTCCTGGACAATGTGTTCCCTGCCCGGCTCCTGTGTTGGTGTGCCCTTTCACGTGTTTGTTTGTCAGCTTTCGTTTGAATTTCTGGCTACCATTGCCCACCGCTGGATTTGAAAGCACGTACTCGTGTCACACAATTAAACAGACAAAGAACACCGCAAAACCATCAAAGCCATTCGCTGGAAAACATGTCAGTTTGCGTAAACCCACTGCCGCAAAAACACAAGGTACCCGGTGACACCATCATAACCGCGCACTGTACGAACACACAGACGAAAGCATACAGAGCTTCATTTTTGGCCATGACGCACTGGGAGACCCTCAGCGAAGAAGACGAGGCAGGTGGTACAAAGTTATCTATCATGTAGTGTATCGCTCCTACCATGCCGTTACACCGCTGGTTTTGAAAGCACGTACTCGTGTCACACAATTAAACAGACAAAGAACACCGCACTGTACGAACACATAGACGCAAGCACACAGAGCTTCAGTTTTGGCCATGACGCGCTGGGAGAACCTCAGCGAAGAAGACGAGGCAGGTGGTACAAACTTATCTATCATGTAGTGTATCGCTCCTACCATGCCGTTACAATTTGGCATGTAACCTTGTACCAGGCCAACTGGTGCTGGACCGCCAAAGAATATTTGCGCCAGCACTGTGCCCTTACAGTGAAAACACCAGCCTGTAGCTTAATTGCAGCTGCTTCTGCTTACTTAGCTTTGCGCGGCTAAGTCTGAGCCGACCAGGTTGGATTCCTCCGCTTCGCTGTCGTTTGGCCCCCAGCTGCAGCAGTACTGTTTGGTTCTGCAGCACGTAGTTCGCTCTTGTCCGTGCTTACTGCTGTGCTGGCTGTTGCTGTTCCCGCTGTTCTTGCGGCCGCTGTTCCTGTCGCTGTCGTGGTTGTTTCTGTTGTTGTTGTTGTTGTTGTTGCTGTTGCTTCTGTTGCTGTTGCTGTTGCTGGATGCGGCTGCTGCTGTTGCTGCTGCTGGTGGTGGTGCTGCTGCTGCTGCTGCGGCGGTTCTTCTTTGCCGCCTGTCCTTCTTTGTCGCCTGTCCTGCGTTGCTCATTCTGCCTTGTCAGGATGAGCCGGTGCGCGAAGAGGCTCGTGCGCCAAAAGCTTGCTCTAGACTCCTCTACTCCATTCAATGGCATGTTTGTCTGCAGAGTCTGCAATCGATGTTTTGCTACTCACACTACAAGGTTACATGCCAAATTGTAACGGCATGGTAGCCGCGGTCCATGCCGGACACACTGTCGGCTTTGTTTTTACTTGATGAGCCGGTCCTGACCCAGGACGAAGTTTGCATCATTTTTTCTTGCCCGGGCATGGTTCGCCATTTTGAACGTTACCAAGATACTACATTGTGCTGCACTGTTGATGCGAAAATGAAAGTTGCCGAGCATGGGTATGGCGTTGCGACTTTCGGTCTCCTCACTCGCGACAAACTACGAAAAACCACTTTGTCGCGTGCTGCCCGCACGGACTCCACACCTGCTCGAACTCAAGGGTTCGTCTTTACAAGTCACACCGTGCCCGTCGTGCAAGCGATTTTCCATCAAGAAACGCACGGCAATTTCCAACGCTTATTCCGGGCCGTGGACAAGCTCTGGCAAAACAGTGCATCTCCACCCCGTCCATCGCTTGCAACTTTGCCATTCCAATTGCACAAAGATTTCAAAAAAGAGATTGAAACTGCCCGCGTCGATTGCTTCCCACACTCCCGTGCATGTGATGATTTCTTCCATTGGAGCCAAAAGCAGCATACGACTATGGCTGCAAAGTGCTGCAAAACGGTCTTACGAAAGGGGAAATGGGTCAAGGAACATTTGGATTGGGCAGTTGCTGCGGTGCGACTTCTGCGCTTGCTTCCCACGTTGCGCTTGTTTTCCCCTTTGTGGGCTGCGTATCTTCGTCGACTTACCGAACATGGAGAGCATGACTTGGTCGCTTGGTTACGAACCTATGAAAGGCCGCTGCCTTTCGCTTTGGCGCAGCAGTACGCAAGTTCTTCGCCACCCCCAACTTATGTCAGCTTTTGGACTGGCTTCGAAGGCACTGTGGCTGGCAGTGGTGCAGGCAACCAACCTGCGGAGGCCTTGCACGCACCATGGCAGCGTGAACTTCAAGCTTTGGGAGGTAAGGGCAACATCAGCCACGTGCTAGGCGTGATGCAAAAGCTGTACACGCAGCATTGGGAGAACTGGTATGACTGGCACAGTTCGGACCCTTTACGACTTTCGGCATCTGCTCCTCGCCTGCTTTCAGTTTTTTTGTTCTTTTGCTTCACAATTTTGCAGCACTCCGACTTACGCAATCATGTCATATGTCACATTCTCGGCGGCATAGATACAATCAATATTGCACTGCTCCTTGGTCACCTTGGATCCCGGCTTCTTGTTTCGTTTCCTCAGCTGCTTCGCGCAGCATAACCTAGTTCGTTTTGCCCGGCAGACAGGAGGTGGACCCGAACCTCATCAGCAGCAGCGCTCTGGCTCGCGCTGGCCGGACGAATGCGGCTCGCTTTGCGGAGTTGCCTTCGGACACCACTTTTACCATCATCGGTCACAATCCTACAACCGTTGCAATGATTGCAAACGAAAGCCGGTCGCCTTTGAACTTGCGCACTGCAACCGCTGGTGCGCTTTTGATTGCAGGCACGAACGTGTCCCAGTCCTTGCAGAACACCGGGATTCTGAGCGCTTCCAATGCGCTCAACCTTTCCAGCTTGCGGGCAGTTTTTCAGGCTTCAACGGGCCAAAGAACCTAAAGTTGGCTCTGCTTTCCTGTTCGTTCCAGTTTGGTCGTTGCAGTTCATGTCCTCAAGTTTTTCGATGTTTTTCGGCTTTGTTCCGAAGGCCGCCTATGTTCAAGCTTCATGCATGTGAAATACAATCTGCCACTCATACACCCCCGGGTCAACGCCTTGCTTGGCCCAGGACATTGTCTATGTCATTGACCGCGATGGTTCTGCTGCGTGCACCTGTGGCATTTTTGCTTTGCACGGCGGTTGTGATCACGCAACTTTTGCCGATAGTTTGCAGATCCGTGCCCGGCCGCCAAAGCTAGACTTGAACCAATTGCCTGCCACCACCCGGCAAAAGGGTCGGAAGCGGAAAGCTGAACCGTGCCCCCGCCAACAACGGCGCCAGCACAAACGCGCCGAGCAGTAAGTGGAAGCTTGGTCTGCAGGGCTCCAACTTTTTTTTTGCATGCTTTGCTGCACATGTTTACGTTCATTTCCCAAAGCCACTTGCCGTCACGCGTCACTTACACATCACTGTGGTTAACAAGTTGCATTGTCGCCTTCTGCAGTCTCTCTCTACGGCTTGTCGGTTTCATGTTGTGAGCTTGCGCGCATCTGAGGCCAACGTCGACGCAGGTCGTGTGAGTGCTAGTTTCATGTCCGTGTGCGGCAGGACTTAGCTGTTGTGACGCTGGGGTTCAAAAAGATTTGCCCACTTCCTGCTTGGGCAACCATGCTGAAGCGTTGCTTCTTTTCCATTTGCTTGGACACCAATTTCATTCAGCCACACTGGCGCAACCTTGCCGCCAAGTTCCTATCGCTGTCGCGGTTGTTTCTGTTGTTGTTGTTGTTGTTGTCGTTGTTGTTGTTGTTGTTGGTGGTGGTGGTGGTGGTGTTCTTGATGGTGTTGTTGTTGTTGTCGTCGATTTTCGCATGTTGTTTGTTGATCGTTGTTGGTCGTCGTTGTTGGTCCTCGTCGTCGGTGTTGTGGTTGTTGTTGTTGTTGTGGTGGTCTTTGTTGCTGTTGTTGGTGGTGGTCGTGGTGGTGGTGGTGGTGGTCGTGGTGGTGGTGAAGGTGCTGGTGGTGGTAGTGGTTGTGGCTTTTGGTGGTTCGTGTTTGTTCGTGTCTTTACAAAAACTCTTTCGCGTTGTCCCGCGACAACACAAGACTCCCACCACTTCGCACGGGATCACAGCACACCCGACACGGGAACCGAAAACACCGGACGCGAAAACCAGCAACACTGGAGACCTAAACGCACCGAACGCGGGAACCGAAAACACCGGACGCGGGAACCGAAAACACCCGCGCAATTTTTCCCTCTTCAACGCAAGGTGGGAACCGAAAACACCATCACAGGAACTGAAAACACCCGCGGGCACTGAAAAAACCGAGCCGGGCACCGAAAACACCGCCGCGCGGGAACCAAAAACCCACTTGGGAACCAAAAACACCGCGGGAACCGAAAACACCAACGCGGGAAGAAAAAACACCGCGGGAACCGAAAACACCAATCCGGGAACCAAAAACCCGGAGCCCCTAATGGGCTTGGTCGATTTGAGCCAAGAACTCCTCCTGATAGCCATATTGCTATCCACAATCCACACACCTTGGCAGAGCTTCAAGCGCTCGACCAGCAACAAGACCAGGGCACCTTGACTTATTCCGGGCCTCCATTCCACTCGTGATGTCTCGATGTCTCCAATCTATTGTATAAATATACATATATATTTCTTGTGTGCAATCCCTCATGAAAGACTTGACTGTTCAAGATCTGAGCAGTCCAACCGACTGTTGGTCAGAGATTTTCCCATCAAACCATGGATTTCCTGTTTTTATCTGCCATCACTTCTGTGTTCTCGTTCCCACCTGCCCAGCCAGAGCTGTTATCCACTTCACCTTGAGGGTGATGTTCAATTCTTCAGATAACTCGTCCTAAATGCATGCTTTCCTATGATTCCTTCCTTTCCCCTCACCCTGTGTCACCCTGTGTCACCGTGTGTCGCACCCCCAAGGAGCCGTGTGCCTTCGTCTACGTGAGCCACATCCTTCGGCGCGACGGCCTGTGGCCCCTGCAAAGCGCCAGTGGCTGGTTCACGCAGCCCATCCAGGCAGCGATCGGCCGCGTGGCGGTGGCAATTGGGGAGCTCTTGGAGGCAACGGCAGGGTGGCAGGGTTGGGGGCCCTTGGGGGTTTGAAGAATCACATCGAGTTTTGCTTGGGATGGTTTGCAGGCAGACGCATTCTGCAACCTTTTCTTTTTTGCGCAACATACTGTCTTGGGATGCGCCTGATGGTTGGAACCAGGAGCAGCAAATTTCTTGCGCCAACTTCTACGTGAAGCTTCTGGGCCTCTCCGGGCAGGACGCGGCCACAAAGCGTTTTGCGCCGATAAGGCGCAGGCCCACCCACTGGCACCCACTGGCGCAAAACTCAGGAAGAAGAACCTCGGGATCTGTGAACACTTCTCAGTATTTTCATATTTTCGAGAGGGAAGCACCCTTCTTAATGCCAAGGTTTCGTCTCCGAACAGCGCAGGACTTTGTGGAGTTGGTGGAGCAGGGTGCCAGGGAGGGGAAAGTGGGCTTCGTGGCGAAGAGGCTCAAGAAGCGGAACTGTAAACTTTGCATGGCAGGAGAGAGTTGGACAGGGGAGCAGCAGCTATGATGATTTTTTCAAGAGGGGAGCATCTAGAGATGAACTGCGGATTTTGGGATTATTTTGAAGATTTTGCATGCTTTGCATTGCAGGCGCAGCTGGTTTTGGGATGAGAATCAGGTGTCACATTCAGTGAAGTGCCCTTCAAGCTTGATGGTTTGTTCTTTTTGTTCTTTCCCTGTGAAGGAAACATGGAGATTCTTCAGCGAGCTTCTTATGCCCCTCTCTTGGTGGCCGAGCCAGACACTTTCTGGCCGGATTTGCCTGCCAGCCGTTTGCTGGCACAAGAGAAGCCCGTGGCCTACTTGTATGGAGAAGTGCTTTCCAAGAGGAGGTGGGTGGTTCCATCATGTTCCATCCACAGCCAGATTTGCTCCTGCTAGTATTGCAGTCAGGCACCTGAGTGAATATCTTAGAAGTTGAAAGCCAGCCGTTTGGCTGGGCGACGGTTGTTCAGGCCAAGGAAAAGATGAGATTGAAAGCTAGAGTGTTTTTACTTTTTGTTTTTTTGTTTTTTATATAATACATGCATATTAAAAACATAACAATTTTGGATCATTCCGGGTGAGTTGAACGGGATTCACATGATGCTGGGAATGCAAATCATACAGATAGCATATCTAGCATTTTCAGCCAGTGAAGTCACCTGTCGTGCCGCACCAAACATTCCATCAGCAGAAGGAACTCCACCATGTTCTCTTGGGTCGCACTACGCTGGTGTGAATTGTGCGCTGTTGATTTGTTTGGTTTCCTCTCTTGGCAGGAAGATGTCTAGTGGAGTCTCCTCAGCCATGCCTCAGCAATCCTCCACCTCACTGAGTAGAATGAACCCAATGATTTTCAAGATCAATTCTTGAGAACTAAACAAAAGTTTTTAGAGAGCACATATGTTCGATGAAGTGGTTGATGAACCCAAACTTGCCAGAAACAACCATTTTACGCTGAGGGCACATCTCTTTCCTGACACAGCCCTTCAAGAGGTGGGATGCGGAGCTGGAGAAATACGTGGAGCCCGTGCCCAACATCACTCTGCGACGCCTGAACTGTTCAACCCCCCAGGTGGGATGGGTGATGCGTGTGGAGTGTTCTTTTCTTTTTTGGAGACATACGGATGTTGGTTTGTGTTTGTCTGAAGTTATGTGATGGTTCTGAGATTTGTCAAAGCGCGGAAGGTCTATCGAGGCCACTGTTTGGACGAACCACAGGAGGGTTCCTATGAGTGTTGGCCCGACAGTTGAGCTGAACGGCTGAGCGTGAGAGCCTCTGGGGCGAGTCGGCCGGGCGGTTGGCACCATGTGCACCTGTGGAGCGACGATCGGGTGTGGAAGGATTGTGTGAAGGCCCGAACCCAAGCACTGGGTGAAGTGGGAAGAGCAGAGGGGGCAACCTACACCCGCGCCGAACTGGAGCTGCGCGGGGTCCCGGGGGAGCGCTACAGCATCGTGTTCTTCTACTTTGTCAACATTGAAGTGCAGATTTAGCTGATCTTGATACCAAAGAGGAGACGACAAAGGACGATGAGTTGCAGACAGACCAAGAGCACAGTGATGGAGTGTGCCTGAAGTACATGAATTGCCGCAATGGCTTCTTCAATGGCATCAAATGCAGCGGTGGCCGCTACTGCATGAAGTGGGGGAGCGGTGGCCGTGTGTGCAAGAAGTACGTGAACTGCAACAGTGGCTTCTATAACGGCATCAACTGACATGGCAGCCGCTACTGTGTTTCTTAGGGCTTGCTGTAAGAGGGAGAGGAAGAGTCCTCAAAGCGGAGCCAGAGTGAAGAGGGCTTGTGTACTCAGCAAGCCAGCATGCCTTCAGAGCACGTGCGCCTTTGTAGCACTTCTGCAAACAAGTGTGTTTCAGGAAAGAGTGGAAGTTCTGCCACAAATGGGTCTGCTCATTTGATACGCCATGAACCCGGGCTCCAGCAGCTCCAGCACTACTTCAATGCTGAGAAGATGGAAACAATGCTGAGGGCTGAGGACGGCTGTAAGACTTGCTGGCGATGCGACCGCAGGGACAACGTAAAATGCTTCAGTTGGTTTTGCCCATCCAACCGAGTGCCGCCACATCCAACAGGTAGCGTGGTCCAACAGTCACCAACCTTGTCTGAGCGGCGAACAAAGCTTTCGCTTTCGATTCCGTTCAATGCAGACATGCAAACGGCCTACTCAATACCTCTTGGCTCTGTCAAGAATCCAATCAATCCTCATGTCGACCTTGTGGCCTCCAACGTGTGGCCAGCTCGCTGAGACAGCGCTGATGAAAGAAGCAGGTTCTTTGTCAGCAGTCGGGGATAGTAAGCACCCAAGGTGCAGGCCAAGTTTCACAAGCTGTAGTGTTTTGACAGACACTTCTTTTTTGGGACATCGATACTGTACATGTTTGGAATTCCAGCTCCAACAGCAGCAACTTATACCATGAAATTCGCTCTGCATGCTGCTTGAACAAATCCGTGGTAGTGATGTGTGGCATCATCTACGGATTCTGTAGAGTCCAATAGGAGTCATTGTTTTGGGGTCTCCCAGCATGGTGAAGCCCGACGATTCCACCATTTTGGACGTCCATCAACGATTGAATCTCTCAGGTGCTCACGAAACTTTCAAGTTTGGTAAGGCCCGATAAGGTCCACGTTCCTTGGACCAAAGGTTTGACATTGGATGATCATCTGGCCCTTGGCAGTTCAGATGACAATCAAAAGCAAACTTGATGAACGCAATGGAATCTCACATGTCGCTGTCGCCTATGATAATGTTTTGGACAGTTTCTACATCGATCCATAGCATAGCATAGCCGCAGTCTCCGCCTATGAGTTTTCATGTATTTTCAGCAAAACAAACAATTTCAAGATCTTGGCCACCATCTCCGGGGTGGTTTCAGAGAACTGAATGTGCCCATGTTTGTCTACAGAAATCCACAGTTTACCAACAAAAGAGTTGAGAGCTCCTCCTGGGGCGCAGTGGGTGCAGAGTCTCATTTGGGGTCCATTTGGTTCGCAGCCCATTGAGGCTTGAACCTCTTCAGCGATTTCAGTGCCTCACCAAGAAGGATGTCAATGGTGGAAGTCTGATCTGCAAGAAATCAGTACTTCAATGGAGAGCACCCCACCATTGATTCAATCGAAAACGAACAAGGGTTCCAGGTTTCTGTTTGGATTCCCATCAGCAAGAGGTTTGTCTATGGAGCTTCTTTGGATGGGGTCCTATTTGGTCCAGCTGCCCCAAAAGTTGCAGTCCAAACATGTGGTGTCTGCTGACACTGGTTCGTTTGCAGTGTCAGTAGAGAACCCGTAGCTCTGACTACTCCGGGTTCAAAGGTCACGCGCGTCACAGTGACCGAAAGGTGTGTCAACTGATAAGGTGATGCTTTGTGGATTGTGGAGAGGAGGTCTGACTCGCAGGCTTGACATTGATTTTCAATCTGGAATTTGATTTTGGGCCATGAAAAGAAAGAATAGATGTGATACGGATTCGGATACACCTGGAGCTCTCAGGCCCACAAGAGGCGATGATGAACTTAATGCGAAGCGGAAGGCTTAGACTGCTCGGAGAACAAGGGTGAAACCAAGTTCTACGGATCAAGCTCCTCTGCAAATGCAATAGGTTTTGGTGGTCTTGAGAGCCATCAGTGAAATCCCCATATGTCCACATCACTCTTGCTTGGAGACTGGACCTTACTCTGTGATCATGTCCGACCTCAGGGCCAGGCAGGGGTGGCCAGGTGGCCTTCCATGCTTCGGAAGTGAGAGTAGTACTACCCTACTGCTGTCCTGAGAGGCCCATGTCTGAAGGGAAATTTGGGGATAATAGCGGATTTCCGTTCTTTTTGGTGTAATTTGCAACAGATTAGCCAAAGATACCAAATCTGTTGCAAACCGAAACAGTAGGCAGCAATCCTGATTGCCATTGCAACACCATCAAACCTATTTGTGATCACGATTCACGCTCCAAGTCATTCGGAAGATATAATCGTTTGCACTTTGTGCTTCAGATGGTCACAGTGGGAAAGTTTCCTGGTGCTTGACTGAGTCCCAGGGTTAGACCAGGAGATTGTCAACTCACATAGGTGCCCTCTCAGGGCCTGCATGAGCTACGTTTCTTACCCACGGACGTTTCTTCGCTCTCTCTTTTTCTGGCGCCTGCTTTCGCCTCCGGAGCCATCTCAAGACTCAAACATTGCCCCTCCGCTTGTAGCTGTGCACCATGGGAAACAAGGCCTGGATAGCAGTGTTTTACATGTCTTGCTGCACGAGACATTTTTCCCTTCGATGACTCAGCCAATGGTTCAGGAAGGAGCTTGACTGAGCAGCACAACATGCTATGATGCAAGCACCCAAGTTGCTTTTAATGATTTGTCCCCTGCAAGTCCTACAAGGATAGCGTTTTGCAAGTAGATGTCACACAAAGTTGTTGGAGACGGGGGATGCATGTATCACGTATCCACACGAACCAGTGACAAATGAATCATAGCTTGTGAGATGCACTGTGTCGCCAATCAGACTTCCGAAGTTCTTTCCTGGCGGATCACTACCCAGCCCCAGAAAGCGTCGCAGTCTCATCACCCCGTGTTTTCTTAAATCTCCAATGAATCATCAGCATGCGCGAGTTCGGCACGTTCAGTCCGCAGGTGGGAAAGGCCTGCGGCAGCATCAGCGGGCGTTCCAAGCGTCGCGGCGAGCCGGAGCCTCCAGCTCCAGAGCCCGTGGAGAGGCATACCAGGCCGCGGTCGGTCGGCTGGTCTCTGAAGTTTCTGTCATGCACGGGACACATGACTTTGGGCTGACAATTCTTGAGTTCTTTGGACTGCTTTGGATTGACAGTGCGAGACAGAACGCAGAAATGATTGGATCGCAGCAAGATTTGAAGGCCGGTCTTCCCTCGGTGGACTATGGTGCCAGAAAAGTAGAGATGAGACAAGAGGAGAAGAACATGTAGAAGGAGAGAAGGGGTAGGAGATAAGGAGTCGTTGTCAAGGCATGAGAGAAGCTTGGTGTCTCAGCAGCCCTGGTTTGGTGACTTCAGTGACCAACACGTGCTCCATCCACACCCCTTTAAGCTCTACATGTTGACACAGTTCGAAGAACCTTTGGACCACATCTCGACTAATACCGGGAGTTGATTTGCAACCTGACTTGGCACCTGACTTGGTGCCGTTTCTGCAAAGCCCGGCTCAATCTGTCGGGGCATTGTTTTTGACACGTCAAGGACGCTTCCTATTTCTCTCTTCAGCCAGCTTGGCAGTTTGACTGGCTTTGAGCTCGCGTCCAGCCTTGTCCACCACGCCAGCCTTGTCCACGCATGGCTGCGGTTCTGGTGGATTGATCCCAGAGCATCGACCGGCCTTCCTTTGATCCAATCCTTTTTAGTTTCAGGCGATATCCAGTTCTTCTGATTGAATAGCAGTCCCGCTTTGAATTGGGTGTTTGGCATGTTTTGCCCAGATGTTCCATGTTCCAAGTGCTCAAAAGGTGTGCCAGACCCTTTTTCTGCCATTTGCACGCAGTTGGGTCAGGATCAAAACCCCCCCCTGCATCCGCTCAGAAGAGAAGGGGCTTGATGTGTGCATGCTTTGTTCATGCCACCATCTCCCTCACTTCCTATCCTCTTCACTTCACTTGATGCTCGTTCAGACTCTGAGTTGATGAATATCATACTTTCTTGGTTGGCTTGCTTGGTGAAAAGATTCAGTTTGCCGCACCCAAGTAGTAGGGCAGGTGGGGTCTTGGGGGTATCGTTGGAGTATTTTTTGGGTGAGAGATTGAGGGCATCCTTGGTTCAAGTGGATGACTTCCATCCACAGTAGTAAGGTGACGTAGTAGTTTTTATGTCCAGTCGTATGTTCTGTCTTTGAAGCTCAAAAGCCTTTGTGGTCAGACCTTCGAGACCTTTGTACCTCCGGACCGACTGTGACGCGAATCCACTTGACTCGAAGATGCCTACCGAGCTGTGGCACGCTGACGACATCATCAGGAGCAATGTACATCCATGTACATTGCAGACCCGTACACAATTGTTCCTTTGATTTTTTTAAAACCTATATATTTTACCTTCCCAATTTTCTTCCATCCTCTGTCCAATGCAGTGGGTGTCTGTCCTCTGCCAGGCGCTCCGAATCGTTGGAGTGGCTCAACGACTTGGTCGGACAGGGCTATGAGCTTTTATACTTTTCCGGCCGGGCGGATTGCCTGGAGATGGTTACAAACTCACTAAGCCAAGAGATAACTTTGCTTTGATCGTGGCTTTGACTTGAAGGATGGTGTCCATCCCCTGTCCAACCATCCAGCACAGACTTAGGTCCTTAGGTCCTTTGGTTCTTCCCAGATTTTCTAGAGATCCCCTAGTCTGGGGGATCTTTGGTCCCCCCCCCCGCAGCTCCACAACTCCTTTCTTCGTGCAGGAAAGCTTTGGCCCAAGATTGACGAAGCGGTTCAAAAGATCATCCACGAACAGGCCACCTGTGATCGCGAGCCGCGGAAGACACCGTCGCCCTCGGCCTTCTGACCGCGTTCGCCCTCGGACGGCCTCACCCTTCGCCGGACGGAGGACCGAGGATCGCCCCGATGGGAACAGAGGAACATGATCTGGTGGGGAAACAACGGGAAACTGACGGGAAAACACGTTTATTCCGATTGATTCCTTTTTCCAGAAGATGAACACACTCCGACATTTTTGCTCCGGGTTCGGTTCCCGTTGAGAGTTGATATTTTTGGATTTTACTTCAGGCGGCCCATCGCTGGGCATGTCTGTTCGCCACTGCACAGTCCGGATATAAACTTTTTTTTGCATTGTTCTGGAAGTGTAGCGATTGCTGCTGGCAATCCAATTGAAACTGTTTCACCAGCCCATCCATACCCCACAGGTTATTGACCAAGTTGGGCAGGTCATGTTTTAGCATCGAAAGAACTATTTTGCCATTTGGGGTTCTCAGTTCTTGCATCAACATAGGCTTTGTCACAATATGATTCCTTGCTTGTCGCCCTACTCGTCCTTGTGGGTGTGGCAACATCAATGATGCCTTGCTTGTCTCCCTTGCTCGTCTTCCCACTGCTCTCCCCACTGTGGGCAGAACACACGCTTGGCAACTGCTGACTTTGTCGCAAACATAAGGTATATTGGAAGGGGGAGTATGTAGAGATCCTCTCATTTGTTCCACTTGCATGCTTAACAAAAACATGGTTTGCCTTCACCTAGTGTAATTCTGTGTAGGGAGCACCGGGCAGAGACATTTGCCTGCGAGGCTGATGTCGAAAAAGCCTGACAAACCTGTGCCAATTGTCTCCAACTCTCTTTCTGCTGCCTTGGCTGGTGAGGTGACTCCCCAGTTGCAAGAGAGCTTGCCTGGGCCCTTCAAAGGCTGGTCATGCAGGGGAAGCTCCAGCTGTTGAGTGATCGTTTGAGCTTAGAAAGACAGAGGTGTTTCGTAGAAGTTTGGAGTGTAGCACAACGCGTTGTGCGCAGTGACACAGGTGCGAGCGACCGAAGGTCTGGCTCGAGCTCTCTTTTTTGGACGTAGACACGTCCGATCATGGATCAAGAAGGTCCAAATGCCATGGCCCTGGAAATGGCCAAGTGGCTCGTAGCCTGGGGCAGACGCTACGACGCGGAGTGGGACGGCATGTACGACATGCTGCAGTGCCTGTGGAACTTGAGCCGATCCCAATACATCGACAACAGGAACCATGGGGTGGTCCCAATCGTGCAGGCAGCAGTGACACTGGCCCGCGACGTGGACGACGAGGATCCCATCCAGGGCATGCGGCTGCGCAAGTACATCGGCGACTTCTACAGCCCTCCGGGTACGGCACCCCGTCCGCTCATGGAAGTCTTCGGAGCGTGGACCACCCAGCAACTGGAGACGTGGCTGGAGGGCGCCTCGCGATGCGTGCCCATTGCGCGCCGATGGCGCCGTGGGGCACAGCTGACCAACTCATGGGGCGTGGAGTTCATGTTCTCCAGCTTGAGTGCCTACCTGGAGGACGTTCACCTCATCGGCCGAGCCTCACTGACACGTCGGGCGCGGATGAACACAGCCATCAGTGACGCCATGCAGGCCTTGGCGACCCAGAACAGCGAGGACCTCGCGAATGCCCGTCGTAGCCTTAACTTTGAGTCACCATGAGTGTGACCGATCGTGCCTTGGCCCGTATGAAAAGTACGCACCGCCGACATCGGTGTTGAGAACCCAGTCTGAGACGACTCGGACACACACGGACCATGCTGAGAGCTTAGCTTCGGTGACTTGGTTTCGACCGGACGATCGTTCGCCATCGGAACTCGCAGACAGCAGTTTGTTTGACCTCGCACCCTTTGTGCACAATACCCCTAGCCGTTACCATGGCCCTAGCAGATAGCTGGCTCACACTCAGAGATGCCTGCGAGGTGGCAGACATCGCCCACATACTCCCGGCGCTCGTTGAACATGGATGGACCACTCCGTCGCTCGTAGCGGCACATCGACTCCAGTGGGACGCCCTGGGCCTCTCCACAACCGAACAGAACATGTGGTGTGTGCCGCTCGCCCAGTGGC